CCGTCTGCATTGGTTTCTTCATCTTCTTCAGGTAAAGTTAGCAAAACCCGAGTGAAAAGTTTAGATTTTTCTAATAGAAATGTTGATTCTAAAGTGGTTAGAAGTAAGAATTCGAGAAGGGGAGGTGTTTCGGATGAGATTATTTGTTTAAATAAAGAGCCAACTTATGTGGCTTTAGTTGCGTTAACGACTGGATTTCCTTCTGACTCGTTAACAGATGAGGAAATTGAAGCTGGGGTTGTTAGTGTAGTAGGCAAGATAGAACAATGTAACTATATTTTAATTAGGAATCACATTATTATAAAATGACGTGAAAACGTGTTGATTTTAGGTGACATAGGATATGTTTGGTGATGTTATACCTGAACGATGTAGTGGGTTATTGGATTCTGCCTATAACTATTTGTTATCATACGTGTATATTAATTTTGGGGTGGCGTTGGCGATTAAGAACAAGATTTCAAATGAGCCAAGTAAAGGCAGAGAGATTGTTATTGGGCCAGGTCTTGCGGGGTTGGCGACTGCAAGACAACTGATGTTATTTGGGTTTGAGGTTACTATTTTAAAGGGATGAAAACGTGCAGGTGGAAGGGTGTATACAAAAAAGATGGAAGAAGGGAATATGTGGCAGTTGCTGATTTAGGAGGGAGTGTTTTGACAGGTACACTAGGGAATCCACTTGGTCAGTTGGGTCGAAAGTTGTCGTATACACTTCATAAGGTGAGAGACCAATGTCCACTCTATCGTGCTGATGGAAAGCCCGTAGACAAGCATTTGGATAAAAAGAAAAGTGGAGGCAGCTTACAATGAACTTTTGGACAAGGCAAGCAAGGTCAGGCAAGAATTATCTCAGGTTGTTTCTCTTGGAGGGGAATTGGAGACTTTGCTAAAGGATTTTGGTGTTGCAATGGATACTGAGGAGATGATCTTATTTAACTGGCATCTGGCAAATTTGGAATATGCAAATGCAGGTTTGACAGTTTTCCTTAGCATTTTTGGACCAAGATGACCCCTATGATATGGGAGGGGATCACTGCTTCTTGTCTGGTGGAAATGGAAGATTAGTTCATGCTCTGGCTGAAAATGTGCATATTATTTTTAAAAAAACTGTGCATGTCATTCATTGTGGTAGAGATAGTGTGAAGGTGACTACTTGGTGCCAATTATATGAGGGAGATATGGCATTGTGCACCTTTCCTCTCGGATTTTGAAGAGTGGTTCTATAAGGTCATTCTAGAGTTGCCTCAACAAAAGCTGGACACAATAAAAAGATTAGGTTTTGGACTGTTAAATAAGGTTGCAATGTTATTCCCGTTTGTGTTTTAGGACTCCAATGTTGATATATTTGCTCACGGTGTTGTTGATTCTAGTTGTCTGGGGGAATTCTTTCTATTTTACAACTATGCAACGGTTGCTAGTGGACCCTTTTTGTTAGTTCTAGTTGCAGGAGAAGCTGAACACAGGTTTTAGAGAATGGCCCCTACTGATGCAGTAACAAAAGTACTTCAAATTTTAAAAGGTAAATGATAGGTTCCACATTAACTTTGCTTTCAATATACCAAAATATTATTTTTACCAAAGCTAAGTTAATGTGGAACCTATCATTTACCTTTTAAAATTTGAAGTACTTTCGTTACTGTATCAGTAGGGGACATTCTTTAAAACTTGTGTGCATCTTCTCCTGCGACTAGAACTAACAAAAAGGGCCCACCAACAACCGTTGCATAGTTGTAGAATAGAACGGACCCCCCCCCCCCCGACAACTAGGATCATCAGCAACATAACCAAATATATCAACATTGGAGTCTCAAAACGCATACGGGAATAACATTGCAACCTTATTTAATAGTCCAAAACCCAATCTTTTTATTATGTCCAGCTTTTACTAAGGCAACTCTGGAATGAATGTGATTGAACCACTCTTCAAAACTCTGAGAGGAACGGTGCACAATGCCATATCTCCCTCAAATAATTGGACTTTGGTAATCATATTCACACTATCTCTATCATAACGAATGGCATACACAATTTTTCAAAATAATAGGCACATTTTCAGCCAGAGCATAAACTAATCTTTCATTTCCACTGGACAAGAAGCAATGATACCCACCCATATCATAGGGGTAATCTTTGTCCCAATATGCTAAGGAAAGCTGTGAAAGCAAACTTGCATTTTCATATTTCAGATTTGCCAGATGCCAGTTAAACAAGCTCATCTTCTCAACATTTATCGCAATACCAGAATCCTTTCGCAAAGTCTTCAATCCCTCTCCAATAGAAAAAACTTGAGATAATTCTTGTCTAACCTTACTTGCCTTGTCCAAAATTTCAAAGTAAGTAGCCTCCACTTTTTTATCAAATACTCATCTATGGCCTTTCCATCAACACGATAGAGTGGACATTGATCTCTCACCTTATGAAGTGTATACGACAACCGTCGATCTAACAGACCAAGTAGATTTCCTAGTGTATACCTGTGAAAACACTCCCTCCAAGATCAGCAACTTCCACCTTATTTCCTCCTTCCATCTTTGTTGTATACACCTATCCACATGCACTCTTTCGTCCCTCCAAAACAATAACCTCAAACCCAAATAACATCAGTTGTCGTGCAGCCGCCAACCAAGCAAGACCTTCCCCAATAACAATCACTTTATCTTTACTTGGTGCAGCTGGAATCACATTCTTAATTGTCAACGCCAACCCACAATTAATATATTTGTATGATAACAAATAGTTATAGGCAGAATCCAATAACTCACTACACCGTTCAAGTATAACATCACCAAACATTTCGTTTGTCACCCAAATCGATACATTTTCACGCCATTTTGTAATAATGTGATTCCTAATTAAAATATAGTGACATTAATGTTCTGTCCTACCAACTACACCAACAACCCTAGCTTCAATTTTCTCATTCTTTAACGAGTCAGACAGAAATCCAGTTGTTAACGCAACTAAAGCCTCAGAAGTTGACTCTTTTTTTATACAAATAATCTCATCCAGAACAACTCCCCTTATCAAATTTTTTCTTCTAACCACTTTATAATCACATTTCTATTAGAAAAATCAGAAATTTTCACTTGAGTTTTGCTAACTTTACCTGAAGAAGTTGAAGAAACCAATGTTGATTGTTCTTCATTGACATTACCGAGAAAACCATTGGATACCTGATCTAAAGATTGTTTACTGTCTGATCTACTTCGTCTTCTATTCATAGCAAGAGATGGAAATGATTCAGGATCAAATCGGATTTAAAGGTAGGGTTAGAATTTGGAACTTAACTGAAATTGGAAGTGAAATCAAAAGTTTGAGTTAGACAAATGAATTGGGGACTGGACAGGGATTTTGTTGATGGATTTTTATGCTTTCTGTAATGGTTTTATCAACAGAGAAGAAGATGACCGGATCGGAGAAGATGAAAATGGACGATTAGAGAAGATGGGTTTAGGTTTTATGGATTGTTTCAACTTTTTTTCTTGGTTGTAACGAAGTGAAGATGAAAGGAGAAAGATAGTTGTTTTGGTTCTTGAAAATGGAGGAGAAAACAAGGTGAAATATAAAAACAAAAAGACAAATATATGCATGGCATTTAATGTATTTTTGACTTAATTAAATTCATCCTTATTATTTTAGTTTAGTTTTTGTTACATCCTTGTAATTTTCATTTAATCAAAAATACCTTTTAAATTTATAAAATATAACCAAAAACATACTTTTATTTATTTTTTCGTCCTTCTCAAACTTCAATAAATTCAGTTTTAGATTTGATATATTTAAATATTCAAACTTCAGATTAGAGACTATTAAATTTCTTATTGGAACTCAGAATAAGAAACACAACTGAATTCAGATTTCAAGAAAACAACGATAGAAATCTCAAACATCTTAATTCAATCAGTGAAACGTTATGTTTAGATTTCTATCGTTGTTTTCTTGAAATCTGAATTCAGTTGTTTTTCTTATTCTGAGTTCCAATTCCATAACCGTTGAGATTTTGACTTCTATTATGTAAAAAAATTGAATTCTAAATTGTTGTTCATGAACCCTATTTGTTTATAAAAGTCATGTTTATAAAGATAATTATATGAGATTTCTTATACATCAATTTCGGAAAATGAAGAAAGAGAACTTTCTGCCTCTTCATAATGCACACATTATGACGAGGAAGCAAAGGGATCCTTATCCTCATTGTGTAAGTGAACTTGAAGTTGTACTCAGAATGATCAGTTGAACAAACATTTGTGTTGCCGGGCTCTTTAGTCTATCTGAAAGCATTAAACAATAACAGAGTGAAAATAAATGAAAACTCAGTATTTAGTAGAATATAATCCCCTTATTGAATTTAAAACATAATGGCTTAGGATTATGAATGGGAATATACAAAAGAAATCCCACTTAAAAAGTTGTCGAAAACCTTCCACAAGGCCATCTACAGTTTATGGTTTGATCTACAGACCGTAGATCCCATCCATAGAATTCATATTGAAGTTTTAAGGCTAAAAGGTTCATTCTACGGTACCAAACTACGACCCGTAGATGGGTCTATGGGAATTGGACCCCAAACTACGACCCATAAAAGGGTTTTGTAGTTCACTGACTCAGAAAACACTGTTGTGGTAGTCTCTGGTAAAATATTCATAACATTTTACTCTAAACTCGAAATGAGGCAAACTTGGTGGAGTTGGAAAAAGAACTCAATTTGATTGGTCATGGGTCACCTAATTCATTATGTGCTAAGAGATATGATCGTTTGAAGTTTACCTAAGTAGAACTTTACATCAAAACTTAATCGGTAAGGAAGCTTACAACTCAACCATGTGCTAGAGGATTTTTGTTACCTTAATTCATATCAAAATTCATTCCCATACTAAATAATAAACCTTAACACCTACGGAAAGTTTAAGAATCACCCGTTACGACCTTATACGCAAATGAAGAACAGTTCGGGACTTAGCTTAGAAAATTTAGTGGGTGTTACACTTTTCTTGAGTCATTTATGCTTCCCTTCTAGGTTTGGCTAGTTCAGCCAAGACATTCTCGAGGGGAACTCTTAGCTTGCTCTGTTTAGTCTGCAATATTTCACAGCATAAGTTAAACCATCTTCAACATCGAAGGAAACAAATCTAGTTTCCTCCCATCTTTTGTTAGTATGAACTCTTGGAATATCATTAAAAAAATGAATATCCATAATAGTAGAAACCACACCTCAAATGAGGGAACAAGAGCAAACACTTCATCAACATATTCTAAATGAATAACAAGAATGTTCCATGCACATAACATTTTTAAGACACAAGATCAAAAGGTATTTTGATATATTCCACATATCTTTATTTTTTACTCCCTTTTGATAACAATTTTTGTGTCTTGTAAGTTTTTCAACACGCGGCCAAAGTCATCGATTGTGCCTTGTAATGACAATAATATCGGTTGAATAGGCTCATTATTCGTCATGGATATGATCTTGTTTTTGTTCTCTTCAAATTTGATGTAATTCATCACAATCTTATTATAATATTTTCAATATGATTTTATTAATTAGCTTGAAATACATGTGCACGTGTTCAAAAACCAGGATAAAAATCATGAAGCTGGAAAATTAATCAAACACAAATTATCTAAAGTGACTACATCATACATGGTATAACTCTATTTGGATAACTATCTAAAGTTTTTTGGGAAAGGTAAAAGGGTCTGATATACCCCTCAACTTTGTCATTTAGAGCTTGTGTACCCTCATTATGAAAGTGGTTCATATATACCCTTACCGTTATATAAATGACTCACATATCCCTACCGTTACAAAAGGAGCTCACATAATGGAAGTGAAAAAATTAGTTTTAAATTTATTTATTTTACTTTAATTTTTTTTAAAAATCATGTGGGGTATATATGATCATTCTAGTAAAGTTCAAGTTGTGTTTTAATATTTTTCATAAATAAATTATTTTTTGACTTCTTTGATTATAATTATTTGAGTCTCTTAGTTTTTTCTTTCATTCTTTAGTGAATTAAAACTATTTTTTTGCGGCTATACTATAATTTAGTTTTTGTATTTGTAAAAAAAATGGGGGCATCTACAATAAATTTTATAAGAAAATTTGTGAAACCTATAAATAAATTGGCCCAATAAAATAAAAAATTTAAATTAGTTATTGAACAAAACGTAAAAAAAAAAGCGTGAGGAAGATCAAATATCCAATTTTTCGTGTGAATAAATATTTAAGGAGAGAAGAAGAGAAAAAAATACATTTGCCAATATAGAGAGAGATATAAAAGGAAAAACTTTAAATATAAAAATCTGGCTAATTAGGTAACTCAATAATTATTAAAGGACCCTTATTGGAATAAAAATTGAGGCTGTCAAAAAATAGAGAGAGAGATATAAAAGGAAAAACTTTAAATATAAAAATCTGGCTAATTAGGTAACTCAATAATTAGGTAACTCAATAATTATTAACAGACCCTTTTTGGAATAAAAATTAAGGCGGTCAAAAAAAAAATATCACCCAGAATTCTATGTTCCCGCTCAAGGTTGGAATAAAAATTAAAACCTAATTTTACTATTATAAATAGAGTGTTACTGCCTCTCTCTTTTTCTCAATGTATCCTTCCAACAATTTATTCAATGTCTGATCAAAAGCCTTTGCTTAGCCTTAAGAAGACATTTTTTTTCAATTTCTTTCCATCAAAAGCTAAAGAAGAAGCTTGCAAACTTATCAACACTCCACATGTAGTGACTCGAGAACTAATTTAGATAAGAGACATATACCCTCCCCCAAAAATTGATTTGAAAACCCCTGGCAGATCAAGAAAAAGATTACCCGTGACGAGGTTATTGTAGGAAGCTGATGATTCCATTTTTAGGGGAGGGTATATGTCTCTTATCTAAATTAGTTCTCGAGTCACTACATGTGGAGTGTTGTTAAGTTTGCAAGCTTCTTCTTCAGCTTTTGATGGAAAGAAATTGAAAAGAATGTCTTCTTAAGGCTAAGCAAAGGCTTTTGATCAGACATTGAAGAAGAAGCTTGCAAACTTAACAACACTCCATATGTAGTGACTCAAGAACTAATTGAGATAAGAGACATATACCCTCCCCCAAAAATTGATTTGAAAACCCCTGGCAGATCAAGAAAAAGATTACCCGTGACGAGGTTATTGTAGGAAAGCTGATGATTCCATTTTTCGAGACGTTTGAGTACATTCTTCGATACTGGACGTTGGATGAGGCCAAAAGTTTGGAGAACGGGTGCAATGTTCCTGTTGGCGTGTGTGATGTAACGGAGGAGAATATCCCTAAGAAGTATGAAGGTGGAAGTGTTTGCTTAAGGAAATTGTACAATGATGACTTTTATCTTTCGTGCACCAAATTGTTCAAGAGTCGCAGATTTAGTGTTGGTGATGAATTTGGACTTTATTGGGATCCTAGGTCTTCAAGTTTAATGTTCAAATTACTTTCTCAGGTTCGCGCTTAGTGAAAGGTCCACAAATTTAGGACCAAAAACAACATATCATAGTCTTTTTGTTAGTATTTCTCTTTCATATAGTTGTAATAGCTGAAGATTGGAACATTTGCATTATGGAGTATGATTATTCTTCAAATTCCCAATTTAGTTTGCTCAATCCCCTTTTAGTAATTTTTCCATTCATTGATTTCTCCTCTAAGTTGCAAACAAGAATGGATGCCTCCCTGGTAAGTTCTCCAAGACAGGCCAAAAGGTCATGTTTTGTGCACCGATAGTATTGAGTGAAAAGTATTAGGAACATTCATATAAATATTATTTGTTTCCATCGAAATCAAGAACTATCTATTCAGAGCAATTGTATCTAACAACTATATCATACTTGGACAAGAACTTATCGTTTCTATGACTATAAATAAGACCTGTCTTTTCTATGTGAAAACTACATATTAAATGAGGTGCGTATGTAGGAGCATCAACTCCAAATTGTTGGAATTCTAAGAAAGTATCGAAAGCCAAGATACATTCTTGCAAAACTTTTTCAGTTTCAACGCCTAGGTGGAGTGACCCAGATGTGCCTTTTGGATTGTGTATCGATATTGATTCATGTTGACGTGTTTTAAAGTCTTACGGGCCTAAACCTAAAATTGTCAATATCATTAATATTAGTGGGTGAGGTTGTTAGTTTGTTACATATTATATATTCAAATCTCTGTTTCTATTTTCTATAAATCCTAGCTATTAACTCAAGCAAAAAAAAAAAGAGAAAAGAAGAAAGGAAACATGAGTTGCCGCATTTAGTGTAAATGACGGCTGTAAATAAACTGCCTTAAAAAAATCATATTTTGTCGAAATTCTTATTTGCACGGTATAAGATCAAAACTGAAAGGTAAAAAGGAAAAATATACCCCTGAACTATCGTAAATGGTATCTAAATACCCTTCGTTATCATGGGATCGAAATCACAAGTCTCTTTTCCTTCTCACGATTTGTTAAACACTTCATGGGATCGAAATAAATCTGGTTTCATCCCATATTTTGTTAGTATTAACATCTATAGAAGGTTCTTTAGGAAATTAATTATAGCTTTTATCGTCCTGTCTAGTAAAACTTAAAACTCAATTAATAGCAACAGTTGGAAGCTGTCTCAACACCCAACCAACCTCAACTCTTGAAATGTCATTAGAGAAAAATGAATTTCCATAATAGTAGAGTCCTTACCTTAAATGAGGGAACAAGAGCAAACACTTGATCAACAAATTCCAAGTGAAAGTTGGCAATCATGCAGAGCTGCATCCATACAACAATGAAATATGAACACATTGATTCACATCACAACGTAAAGGATCAAAGTATTAACAACTTGAAATCTTCAATACCTCCCCATCAGATACGTCATGTTGTTTTAGAGGCCTGAACTGAGTTAAATGAAAACAAGCACTAGAAGAGACAACTACAACAAGAAGTTCTCCTTTTCCTTTCAAAATATCTATAGTTTCACAATCCATCAGACATGTTGTATTTCCTGGAAGTTCTGAAGTTCTATCAAGAGATTCTGAGAATGAAGCTATTTGATTTGCCCACATCAGCATGATCGTGTTGACGGTCGGTTTGATTTCAATTCAAGAAATTTTTTAATTATTTTTATTCAATATTTGTGAAGACATAGGAATATGGTTTTCCATTTGGTGAAAAGAGCAGAACACAAACATCTTCTCCGGTTAAAGTTGAAAGCTCATCTGCTTTCTTCGAAAGGGGTTTTTCCTTTGCGATAAAGTAGCAGCGCGCGCTTCCTTTGATTCAATCAAATCCATTTCAATCTTTTGCTTACCCCAGCTAGTCCTCTTTTCTATTGGAAAAAACAAATAATTAAAGAAGAAAATAAGTTGTTTTGGCTGAATAAGCTTGTGCAACTTCGAGAAGAACACCAGGGTAATTTATAGTAGGTGCACGACTCTATTTTCACGTGTATTGTCACATTATTTAATATTTTCATATTATGATTCTATTTGTCACATTTATTGTCAAATTGTTTAATATTTTCATATTATGAGTCTATCTATCATGAGTATTGTCACATTTATTTAGTATTTTTCATATCATGTGAATCTATTACTAGATTTACATATAATGTTATTTCGGAAAGAGAGCCTTGAAAAAAATGTAAAGTTGTCTATGTGTGACATGTAGGTCTCTGGTTCAAGACATGTAAGCAGTCACTAATACTTGCTCTAGGGTAGGCTATTTACATCACACCCTTGGGTGTTTGGCCTTTCCCCGGGCCTCACTAACACAAAATGTTTTGTGCATTGAACTACAATTGTTTTTTATATAATGTTAATTCTATACTATGAATGAAAAGGAAATATACCAAATAACTAGTTTAATTTTTCTTTTACAGGTACATTTTCTTCTAATATGATTCAAGAAAAAAATCTCAACAACTCCACCTCAATAGAATCTTAGAACATGATTTTACACCTCTAACTAATACACCCTTTATTTCAAGTTCTTTGTCAAACTTTCCTTTTTAGTCCGTTTAAAAAAGACCTACCACAACTAGGGTCAAGGTTATACTTGATATAATGGAGAAGCTTCCAAATTGTATAAGGTTGCAGTTTGTGGATGAAAAATCTGGTAAGTTGATCGAGGTTTTCTAGGAGATTGTATATGATAATTTACCTTTGTATCGCAATAATTGTTATCACCAAGGTCATGATGAAGATAGATGTTCTTTGATCTAGAAAAAAAATCAAAATAACAAACAAAATGATGATACCATTGAAGGTACTTAATTAAAGGTACTAGCAATATTAAAAAATATCAAGGTGATGTGAAGGAAATATCAAATAAAAAAAGGAGGGTTTTAGGTGTCTATCAAAGTAAAGCTACTTCTTTAGATTGACAATTGGTTGCTGCCACTTCTGAGCAAAATCATGCAAACATAATGGATGTTGATACATGTAATATTTGTCATTGGGTATAAAATCACATAAAATTAGGTAAGTCACAACTTAGGTTATATATAAGTTGGGCTAAATAGAAGGTAAGTAAAATTTATGGGTTGACTTGAGAAATGGAGAAGAAGAAGAGAAAAAATAAAAAATGGCCAAATACACAAGCCTTTCATGCGCTATTGATGAGTATATTAGGAGCATCAACACTGTTTCGGTAGGTTTTGAGAAGCTGAAGAAATTGTTGGAATTCTATGAAAGAGTCTCGAAAGCCAGGATGTGCATTCTTGGAAGGCTTGTTGAGCTTCTCCATGCATGTTACTTACATTGCAAAAATATTTCAGTTTCGTACGACTAGGTGGAGTGACCCAGATGTGCCTCTTGGATTGTGTATATATATTGATTCATTCACACAACAATTTGCCGCAGGAGAGATGTTGCAAGATTACTAGTGACTTAGATTGCTACCTGCTTCTTTACGATGATAGTGGAGCAAACCACTGACGAAGAGACCAAGTTCCTTACAGGGATATATGCAACACCTTAGACAATCTTACGTCAATAAAATGTATGAGAAATGCAAGGAATATAAGGAAGCAAATTTATCCATGTTGACGCGTTTTAAAGTCTCTAAAATTTACAATTTTATTATTATTAGTTAGTCGGGTTGTTTGTTTGTTACACACTATATATTCAAGTTTGAAATTCAGATGCGACATGTTATCCCTCAAAATTATCTTCAATCAGTAATGTGATACTTTCGACAAACTAAAATGACTAAGAAAATTGGATAGAGATGTATTAACTTAAGACAACTGATTTTGTAACAACATCTGGCTGAAAGTTTTTGCATTTGCACAAGAATAATGCTACATTCATTCAAGTCGTTGTTTCCATTTTTCTGCAAAATAAAGATAAAAGAAGAAAGGCAACTGTTGGGCATGGCCTTTAGAGACAGATGCATAACCTCTGGACAAATACTTGAATTTAGCGTAAATGACGGTTGTAAGTAAACTGGCATATCAAATCATCTTTTGCAGTCGAAATTCTTGTTTGCACGATACAAGATCAAAACTAAAATGATGATATTACTATAGAATGCTCTTTGTCACACCCCGAGCATACACCCTGGACGTGGCGAGCACTCGAGAACTATTGCTGGTCCCCAAGAGAACCCTTGGCCTGGCTAATTATCGACATGAGACTTTAATATGATATGCAGAAGCCTTAAGTAGATGTATATTTAAATTATTTAAATAAAAGCTTTGAAACACTGTCTTGAAATTATTTAGATGAATATGTTCCAATAAAAATCATCTGGAGAAAAATATGAAAAACATTTAACTCTATCTATGAAACCTCTATTGTTCAAGATAGGTGTTGGGACAAGATCCACGACACCTCAAATACTACTAACAGAATATAAAAATGAAGTCCTCTGAAATCAAGAAGGTCTCACCAAAAACTATCAAGAAGGGTGAAGTGATCGCAATAGAGTGCCTGTTGATGATCCTAAACACATGTATCTTCATCATAAACATATGCAACTTGACTGACATCAGTATATTGAATGTACGAGTATGTAATATGGCTGAATAAAACAATAACTGGATTGATGACTGAATAGATATCAAGTAAAACAATATATGAACAAGTAGTGAAAACCATTTGTACTTTACAATAAGATATGAAATAAAAGCAATATGGGAATAGAACACTTTACTCTGTAGGGAGTTTCTTTAATCGACAACCAACACAATGAGCCTAGCAGTGATACAACGTTTCACCCACGTTGCAAGGGTCATCCTATACTTTATCGGGGTATAGGATGCTAACTATAACTGTGGATCCATCCAATAAGCCTTCTTGAGGTAGTGAGGATCCATCCAATAAGACTCTTACCCAATTTTGTGCTCGATACTACTCCCAAAACAAACCATATCAATTATGTCCAATCACCCTTTACATAGAAAGAAACTATTTCTTTACTTTTACTTTCACTTTTCTTTACTGAAAAACTTTCAGAAAATCATTTATACTCTTTCTCTTTCTTAACTATCAAATAGTACATATGAAACCATTCATATTCTTTCTTTAGAAACTCTTTTCAGTAACATGTATTTAAAACGTATACTTATGGACTTACCTATCAGGTCCGAAAATCGATGTATAAGAAATCTCATATAATTATCTTTATAAACATGACTTTTATAAACAAATAGGGTTCATGTGATACAAAACATGAACAACAATTTAGAATTCAATTTTTTTACATAATAGAAGTCAAAATCTCAATGGTTAAGGTTGGAACTCAGAATAAGAAACACAACTGAATTCAAATTTCAAGAAAACAACGAAAGAACTCTAAACATAACGTTTCACTGACTGAATTAAGATGTAGAGCGTGAGGACAAGATAATCCAACACTATGAAAGTCTTACATACCTGGAAGAACAAAGTTCTTGAAGAAGTTGGGAGAATAACTTGATTGGAAGCCTTGAAACCCTAGATTTTGTCTTCCTCGCAATTTTCTTTTTGAGTTGGGGAGTTGAGAGCGTAAAATAAAATAAAACTGAGTATTTGGTGGAATATGAATCCCTAATTGAACTTAAAGCATCATGGCTTGAGATTTAAAAAAATGGGCAAATACAAAAGAAACTCCACTTAAAAAGTTGTCGAAAACCTTCCACAGGGCCATCTACAGTGTATGATTTGATCTACGGACCGTAGATCCCATCCATGGAATTCATATTGAAGTTTTAAGGCTAAAGGTTCATTCTATGGGACCAAACTACGACCCATAGAGGTTTCCACGACCCGTAGATGGGTCCGTAGGAATTGGACCCCAAACTACGACTCATAAAAAGGTTCTATAGTTCAGTAACTCAGAAAACTGTGTTGTGGTAGTCTCTGGTAAAAGAGTCATAACGTTTACTCTTAACTCGAAATGAGGAAAACTTGGTGGAGTTGGAAAATGGACTCAATTTTATTGGTCATGGGCCACCAAATTCATTATGTGCTTATGATCTTTTGAAGTTGACCTAAGTCGAACTTTACATCAAAACTTAATCTGTAAGGAAGCATACAACTAAACTTTGTGCTAGAGGATTCTTGTGACCTTAATTCATATCAAATTCATTCCAAAACCAAATAATAGACCTTAACACCTAAGAAAAATTTAAGAATCACCCGATACGACCTTATACACAAATGAAGAACGGTTTGGACCTTAGCTTAGAAATTTTTGGGGCGTTACACTCTTCTTGAGTCATTTATGATTCCCTTCTAAGTTTGGTTAGTTCAGCATAAGTTAAACCATCTTCATCATCGAAGGAAACAAATTTAGTTCCCTCCCACATCTTTTGTTACTATGAACTCTTGAAATTTCATTAAAAAATCAATATCCATAATAGTAGAAACCACAGTTCAAATGAGAGAACAAGAGTAAACACTTCATCAACAAATTCTAAACGAATAACAAGAATGTTCCATGCACATAACATGTTTAAGACACAAGATCAAAAGATATTTTGATATATTTCACATATCTTTAGTTTTTAGCTCCCGTTTGACAACAACTTTTGTGTCTGGTAAGTTCTCCAACACATGGCCAAAAAGTCATGATTTGTGCCTTGCAA